ACTTGTAGGCAATGTCTAGAATAGGCAAACCCATAGAGACAGAAAACTGATTGGTGGTTGCTGAAAACTACGGGGTTTGGGGTGAAATGGGGAGTGACTACTAATGGGTTAATTTTTAAGGTGAAATGTAATGATGGCTGCACAAGTCTGAATACTAAAAACTGCCGATTTGTATCCTTTTTTTTTTTTTTGAGATGCAGTTTTGCTCTGTCACCTAGGCTGGAGTGCAGTGGTTTGATCTCAGCTCACTGCAAGCTCTGCCTTCCAGGCTCAAGCGATTCTCCTGCCTTAGCCTCCCAAGTAGCTGGGATTACAGGCACCTACCAACCCGCCCGGCTATGTTTTGTATTTTTAGTAGAGACAAGGTTTCACCACATTGGCCAGGCTGGTCTTGACCTCCTGACCTCTTGATCTTGGTCTTGATCTGCCCAAGTCTGCCTCCCAAAGTGCTGGGATTACAGGCCTGAGCCCTGGCACCTGGCCGAATTTGTATACTTTAAATTGGCAAATTGTGTGATATGTGAATTAGGTATTGAAAAGGCTATCATAAAAAAGATAACACCTACAATAATGTCAATCTCATTGTAATTTCAATGCTGTTTGAATGGGAGAGGACAGAACGGCCTATCCCCTTGGACATGTCCATGGATGTGTGTCATAGGTGGCAACATCAATGTGACTAAAAGTTGAGGAGCCACCGCCTGAAAAAAATAAGCGTCAGTCTCTTGATTCACTATCTCCACATGACAGCTTTGCCTCTGGCACCCTCCTCTCACCTTCTTTTCTCTCAGGGCAAGGCACAAAAGGTGCAAACCAGGAGGGAAAATGAGGTTTGAATAATAAGTGGTTTTCAATTATCTGCAGTGAAAATTGCGAGTCGACTTGTATTAATTTTCACGATCAAATTACCTCATTTTCTCTCTCCCCTGACTGCTAGGGTAATTTTATGCCAGAATTATTTTAGTCATTCTAATTATGTATGCATCAATATTTAGTGGGTGTTTACCTAACCCACAGCACACCCAAATGTTTTTGCTCCCCCAGAGACCATAGCAGTGCAATAAAATATTAATAGGTGGTGCACAGTACGGAGATGAAGTTCCCTTTATTTCTTCGTCCTTGTTTGTGAGGAATGTTCAGGTGGTGTTTCTCAGAAAGCAACGTGTGTGCTATTCAGATGCATCTACAAAACTAAAAGCAGTACTGTGGATGCTATGGGTTCATTAAAGGATACTAAATGCAATTCTAGCACAGATGTTTCATTAGGGATTCAGTTATGTAAGACAAATTAAAATTTACCATTTGTTTAGAATTTTCTTTTTGCAAAAAGGCTTTCCTGTCTGTCTTGTGTTTGCATTTTTCTGACACTGACAGTATTTCTTCTCCCCTTTTCCTGTAGACCCTTTCCTTTTTATTTATTTTATTTTTGAGATGGAGTCTCACTCTGTCCCCAAGGCTGGAGTGTAGAGGCACGATCTCAGCTCACTGCAGCCTCCACCCCTGAGGTTCAAGCAATTCTCCTTTATCAGTGTCCCGAGTATCTGGGACTACAGGTGTGCGCCACCACACCTGGTTAATTTTTTGTATTTTTAGTAGAGACAGGTTTCACCATGTTGGCCAGGCTGGTCTCAAACTGCTGACCTCAAGTGATCTGCCTGCCTTGGTCTCCCAAAGTGCTGGGATTCTTTCTCCTTTAACTAACACTCTCCTACTTAGTCTCTGCCCGGCCCTCTCTTCCTCTCACTCCTACTTTGTTCTTCCCTCTCTCTCCTTCTCTATTTTCTGTCTCTTTTTTTGACCCTTTGTATTTTCTTCCTAGCTACAAGTGGGTAAAACCCAAGATTCAGCCTTTAGACTTTCTTTCGACATCTACATCATCTCCCTTCAATTCTCTGGGTTTCAACTCTGAACCTTGGGCTGACAATTCCCCAGTATATATGAATTTGACTCCAGAAAGTATTTAATGGGGATGACTCAATTTATCTTGACCTAAGGTCCAAAAGTGAATTCTTTATCTCTGGGAATACTTGTCACTGGTGGTACCATTTCAACATGCCCTCTCTTTCCCTTCATTCTCAGGTGGGTTTAATTTTACTTTGCAAAATCTCCTGGACCCGCTCCCTCTTTTTGTTCCTTCTGCCCCCTCTTGTTTCCTGATGGTCTCCTAACTAGAGTGACACCCCAGAGGGTAAGCGTGTTAATATGGACAGCCTACGAGGTTTGAGAATCTCTCAGGGAATCACCCAGAGGCCAGGCCTCAGTGGTGCCTTCTCACCCCCTCTATCCACTTCCAGGGTCCAGAGCCATCTCTTCCCTGCACCACTCCCCAAAGGCCTGTGGGATGTGACGATGCTAAGAGCAAGCCTGGGGCAAGAGAGCAGGACAAGAAATGGGGCAATGCAGGGGAGGGCATGGGGACCAAGCACAGCACAGACCACAGGGCCTTGGGAATGTGGAAGGAGAGAGAGAGAAAAAATACCAGCCGAAAGGTTTCCTGCCTATCAGTGGGGTGACACTGTGGAACAGTTGATGACAATCGGGATGCTGCAGCCAGGGAGAGACGGGGGAGGAATGAGCTGAGGAGGGGAGGGAAGTTATTTCAGAATAGCCTCTGTGGATGCTAAGCCTTGGTACATGACACCCGACATAGACTCGTTACATATTCTTTCTATTCCATACAAATGTCGGTCAGTTTATTGCACAATTAGGATTATAGATTGTGCCTCCCACTGCCAAAGTAAAGTAACAGGGGTTGCATTGCTCTTACTCCTTGGCTGAGGGAGTGGTCACATAATCTATGGCAGATAAGTGAAGTTTATAGGCTGCAGCAGGCTATTTAGGGCAAGAACTCTAAACCCTTTATGGCACACCAAGGACTCTGGACTCTGAAAGTGTGTGCCAACTAAAAAAAATTGCTGATGAAGTTAGATTTATTTATATTTTATATTATCAGACATACACGAAACTTCTGATTAATATGAGAAAACCTAAGGAGCCTCACTGAATGGACCTAAAGATCAACTCCAACCAAGAAACGTTATGGCTTAGTGGACACAGGTTAATGCATGGCTTGATATATGAGATTGTGAAAATGGGAATATTGGCTAATTAATTAATTTAACTGTTCCTGCATTCAGCAAGCCTTTATGGAGTGCCTTCTACATGCCAGGCAGTGTTCTAAGCACTATAGCCAGAGATGGTGGTGAATAAAACATTCTCTGCTTTCAAAAAGTTCAGAGGCTGGGGGCTCAGTCAAATAAGTGAGCAATGGCATGACAACAGAATTTCTCAAAATATGTTAATCGTATCACTTACAACAGATCACCTGAGGAGTGTCTTAAATGTGCAGCTTCCTGAGCCCCACTGCTCAAACGCTGGAACAGCCTTTCCTGCAGTGAGGCCAGGAATGAGCATTCCTAGCAGACACCCCAGGTGAGCTGCTTTCCCTGACATTTTTGGAGTTGCAGTCCCATAAGTTTAGTGTGCTGTGATGGAGAGAACCCAGGGGACTGTGGGACCTAAAATGGGATCCCTACTCCAACCTAGGGACTGTGGAAGGATCATAGAAGGCTTGCTTTTGGAGGTGGTACCTGAGTTGAATATTGGAAGACAGGGGGCAGTAGCAGAAGACAGCAAAGGTAGAGGGAGCCATGGGGCAGGAAGCATGATGGGGCTGGGGTGTCGGAGACCCATGAGTGTTTCTATGAAGTTGGGGCACAGAGGACTGTGACTTGGAGCAACAGAGGAGATGGGGCAGGGACCTAATCATGTACAGTGAAATAAATTGGGAGACCCCAGCTGACATGGCCATTATCACATTTAGTTGGTACATGAGGTAAGTCTGATGCTCCCTGTGATCTCCTGGAAGAGACCTTGAATGCCGAGCCAGGCCGCTCTTGGCCAGGATCGCTCTAGCTGCTTACTTAGAAAAATATTGTGTTGCATTTTTCACTAACAAAGGGGATATCTTGCCGTAAGGTATTTGAAATCAGAGGTCTTCAGACATTTTTGCTTATTACCCCTAAAGGAATTTTTTAAAAGAATTATGCTCTTTCTGGCACATTTTAAAGCTGTTGTCTAAAATTTTTTATCTTATGTCTAAATGGCTGTAAACAATGGATACCTAACATATACTATATTGACATTTTAAGATAAACTATGATATTTTTCTTTTAAATATATCCACAGCAGTAAAAATACCTTGGCAGTTCAATACTTCCAACATCTTACAACATTTTCAAAACACGCAAACATATTCTCTTGTTAGCAGATGGAAATTTTATGTATTTTTTTCTTCTTGTATCTGCAGTTCTATTTTACTTCCTTTACAGAATTTTATTCACTATAATATAGTTTATACTTGAAAGTTTCTTATTGATTTATCTTCCTATTTCTCTATAATGAATGTACATTAATATATATAAATATGTTGAATGAATATATATGAGGATAAAGGCTAAACATATATATATATATACATATACATATTTTTATGTATATATGGTAACATAGTTACTATAGACTTCAGTATCAAACATCTTCTGGATTGACTTAACATTTTAATTATTAGTCATAGATTAAAAATAGATATTATTATAACATTTGTCAATTATTAAATATAAAAATAAAGTACTAATTCGGTGGATGTGGCTTTTTTCAATTTTTTTCAGGTATCTTAAGATGAATGCTACTTATTAATAGAAAAATACAGGTTTCAGCATGAATTATATTGCCATTTAAAAAATTTTTTATAGAGGTATCACTGAGAATTTTCATTCACAGAAGTGAGTAGATGGGGATGGAACCAGATTTGAATAGTAAGTTTACTCAATTAAAAAAATTGATCAATATATTTGTCAATATTAACATATTAAATAGGCTAAACCATATGATCACATCCATAGATGAAGAGTAAACATTTGACAAAATTCAACACCCTGTTACGACAAATGCTCAGTGAGTTAGGAATAGATGGGACACTCAATTTTTAAACCTCCTTTTGAATTACATGCCCCAAATTAAATTTTATGATCAGCTGACAACTAGGTGAGGTTCTTCAGTTTTGCTGAAAGCTGAGACTTGGAAACAAAATTGCTTGCAAAATAATTTATTATTTAATCTTCAGTTTCTAGAAATTAGACCAAAGTGGGTTTAGACCTGTATCAAATGAATATTAATTATACTTGTTACTCTTTTTCTCTGACGCATTATGTTTATCTAAGTATACTCAGAGTTGGGTAAATCACAACAGCGCTAATGTTAATTTCAATATAATACAATATTGTGAATGCAATATTTTTGGCAAAATGCTTTTATCTTATATATCTTAAATATATTTTAGAACAACTTTATAATTGAAGATTTAACTCATTCAACTTCTGGAAAATATTCATCCTCTGATTGGCAAAGCCATTTCATATTGTCAAGTCAATCAGTCAAATCGAAGCATTTAAATTACTTTTGAGTTTTATGGCCCAAATTATATTTAATGATCAGATATTAGAAAAAACAATTGACTTCACATTTTAGTTCAAATAAACATGTTAACAGTATACTTATGACAACCATTTGATTTTTGATACATAGATAGACAGTGTCTTAGTCAGCTTGGGCTGCTGTTCCAAAGCACTAGAGAATGAGTGGTTTACCAACAACATAATTTTTTTTTCACAGTTCTAGAGGCGCGAAGTCTAAGATCAGGGTGTCAGCATGATTGGGTTCTGGTGAGGTTGCAGAACTGCTGGTTCTGCGGGCTGCTGGCTTCCTTTATCCTCCCTGGCAAAAGAGGGTAAGAGAGCTCTCCAGGTTATAAGGGCACTAATCCCATTCATGAGGGCTCTACCGCCATAGCCTAATAACCTTCTAAAGGCTCTATATCCAAATACCATCACAATGGGGGTTAGGGTTTCAACATAGGAATTTGGGAGTGGAGGTGACACAAACATCCAGTCCATTGTCAGCAGACAGAGCCTGAAGTTTGTTGTTGTTACTATGCTTTTATTATTTAAACCATTTTCATGGGAAAATTCAGACTATGTTGAGGGGGGCTGTTGCCCTGAGACAGAAACATTTGAGAAAGGAATCACAGGAGTGGAGGGAATTAGGCAACTGGACAAGAACATTCCAGGCAGAGGAAACTGCTGGAGCAAGGAGGGTGTCCCATGTGTTTGATGAGCAGTATGTAGATCCTTGGGACTAGAATGGAGTGAACGAGGGACAGAAGTCAGATGTGGTCTAAGAACGATGGGGGCCAGATTATCCTTGTAGCCATTTAAGGATTTTGGCTTTTACTCTAGGTGAGAAGGGAGCCCTTGCCAGGTTTTTAGTAGATGAGTGATAAGATTGGGCTAAAGTTATAAAAGGAATTATTTTCTTGTGCTGTGTTGAAAACGGACCTTTGGGAGACAAGGGTGGAAGCAGACGTATCTACTGGAGGCTGTTGCAATGTTGGCAGGGGGTGATGATGGCTTGGACTAGGTTAGCCGCAGTGGAGGGAGTCAGAAGTGGTCAAGCAGTGGATACATTCTGAAGGTAGAGCCAGCAAGATTTCTTGATGGATTGGATGTGGGTTGATCCCAAGAGCAGAGTCAAGGGAAGTCCAGTGCTTGCATACTGTGCTGCTGAAAGAATGAAGTTGCCCTCACTGAGCCAGGAAAGGCTGCGAATAAAGTAAATTTGGCACATGTAATTTTGGGAGTAGGAGTTACAGTGGGCTGTGAGATGACACCCTTGTAGGATAGAGGGAGAAGTTGGGTCTGTGGAACAATATGGGTGGGAGGAAGAGGAGGAGGTCAAAGAAAGAGTGAGAAAATTAAGAGAAGCTCAAGAAAGTATCCAGAAGGTGAGTGAAACTCCCTGGTGGTGGTGAAAGGAGACAAAGGATCCTTTAGTAAGTAGAGTTATCAACACGGTTGTATGTTCTTTGGTGATTGTGGTAGTTTCCTAGGGCTGCCATAACAGATGACCATGAACCCAGTGGCTTAAATAGCAGTCCACAACCTTTTGTGGTGCCAGCGACTGGTTTCATGGAAGACAATTTTTCCCCAGGTCTTTGTGGGGTTGTGGGGAGAGGGGATGGTTTGGGGATGATTCAGGTGTATGACATTTATTGCGCACTTCATATTTCTATTATTATTACATTGTAATATATAATGAAATATTTATACAACTCCCCATAATGTAGAGTCAGTGGGAACCCTGAGCTTGTTTTCCTGCAACGAGATGGTTCCATCTGGGGGTGGAGACAGTGACAGATCATCAGGTGTTAGATTCTCATAAGGAGCACACAACCTAGATCCCTCACATGTGCAGTTCACAGTAAGGCTTGTGCTCCTATGAGAATCTAACATCACCACTGATCTGACAGGAGGCAGAGCTCAGGAGGTAATGTGAACAATGGGGAGCAGCTGTAAATACAGATGAAGCTTCACTGGCTTGCTCACTGCTCACCTTCTGCTGTGCAGGCTGGTCCCTAACAGGCCACAGACTGGTACCAGCCAGAGGATGGAAACCCCTGGCTTAAATTTAAAAAATATCAAAATTTGTTTGCTCACAGTTCTGGAGGACAGAATTATAAAATCTACATGTTGGTAGAGCCATTGCCCCTCTACAGGCCCTAAGCAAGGCTCCTTCCTGCCTCTTTCAGCTTCTGGAGGCTCCAGGTGTCCCCTGGCTGTGGCACTATAGCTGTAATCTCCGCCCTGTCTTCACATCGCCTTTGTCCTGTGTCTGTCTGTGTCATCTTCTCTTCTTTCTCCTATAAAGATATGTGCCACTGGATTTAGAGCCCATGTGAATCCAAGATAATCTCATCTCCATGTCCTTAACTTGTTACATCTGCAAAGACCCTCTTTATCCAAGGATCATATTCACAGGTTCTCAGAGTTAGAATATGGACATATCTTTTGAGAGGCCACTACTCATGCCACCACAGGAATATGGATATTTCTTCTGTCCCCTCCATCTTTCCTATCCAAACATCAGTGCCATGAAAAATAGCTTTGCTGCTATACGTTTGTTTTGCAAGCGGATAAGGAGGTTGAGTTTCATATTGAAGTCAGAATGGCATAGTGAGACAGCGGCTGACAAGAGGCAGAAGGACCTGTGAGAAGACAGGTCCCCAGGAAACTGAAAAAGTCTTGGCAAGGCTTCCCAAGACCATAGAACTGGGCATTTGAGCCAATCTTAACTGATCCTAAAGTTTAGAAGCTGTCAGCTGATATCTGTGTTATAATGACATAAAATATGATCATACTATACATTCTACTTTGTAACCTACTCTCCTTGCTTAAAAAATATTGCAAACATTTTCTCAAGTCATTAAATATTTTTCAACAACATGATTCTTAATGGCTGTATAGCAGTCCGTCAAATGAAAGTACTGTAATTTATATAACAAATCCTTTACGGTAAGCTGTTCAGGATGTTTCTACATTTTACGTATGATAAATAACACTGAAATGAACAACTGTCTTTATAAATCATTGTGCACATCTTTGATTATTTTCAAATGAGCCCATTTTAAATAACCATGAACTATGAATTGCTATTTTGTGATGGCAATTTCTGCTCATTGTTTTCTTCATGAACTAAAACTTTTCCTTCAGGCAAAAAAAAAAAAAAAAAAAAAAAAAAAAGTACCTAAAACATCTGGCTTATGGTGTAATTTACTTTTGATATTCATCTGTGCTCTCAAATATTGAAATGTCTACTTTCTAATAGTCTCATCCTAGGTTTAATGTTCCTTCTGGAGGCACAGATACAAGTGTGTTTCCTTCTGTGAACCTTGGCCATGACTATTGGTGCCAAAGTTGTATATTAGTTGCCTTCAGCTTCTATATCTCTAGTTGTAAGACCCAAGAAGAAAGGACAGAAACCAGAAAGAATTAGACTGCAGGAATTTTTGTTGGGACCAAAAAGTCTCTTGTGATAATGGCTACCATGGAAAACTGTGACATGCCAGATCATTCATTTATATAGACTGTCTTATAACCAATATAAGTTAGGTATTATTATCTGCAGTATTGGTGAGCAGGTAGTGGCTTTGAGCAGAGAGCAGTTCTCATTGTCAATTAAGTAGCAGACTTGGAACCCAGGTTGGTCTAACTCAAAGCTGACATGTCATACATCAGTGGGGCTCCCATATCTTTGAACTTTGAATGCTGGTTGAGATTTCTCACCAGAACTGTAGAAGTCATGTAGGCTTGCCAACTTTTAATTTTGCCAAGTAAGGGCATCAAACAGCAACAACCACTAAGTGTGATCACCTACCACAGTGCCCTCATACACAAAAAGGTATTTTAATGCCTCAAAGAGGAGGAAGGCTATCAACTCTGAAGACAAGACCTTCAGTGAGGTGAATCAGATCTTATGGAAATTCAATATGTTATCCCTCCTGGTGATCATCATCTCATTATGGACCAGGGCAAGTGGACACTCTCTCCAGACGCCACCTAAGAACCACTTCAGGAGGTCATGCTACATCACTGCCCCGACAGAGGGTTGCTCTGGCTTGGCTGACCAACATGGAAGGGGATGCAAGGCCTTCCCTCTGCTGCTGGAAGGGGCTGGAAAAACATTCAGCCTAGTGATAGAGGGGCGTCCATTATATCACCTCTCCCTGTTCAGGGTAGAATTCTCACACTCTGGTCCTTTCCAAGAGTGAAGCAAAGAAAGAAAGACAGTGAACGTAAAGTTCAAGAAACTTACTTAGGAAAGGAGACAGATCCAACATGACCAATTAGGAGCAGCTCAGGATTGCAGCTCCCAGTGAAAGTGTGGAGGGTGAGTGGACGTCACATTTCCAGATGGATTTTTATTGCCCACAGACCAGGAGATTCCCAGGCAGAGGAGCCCCACAGGTCACCAGCACGGCTGTTTTGGCCGGCGCCCTGGCGCAGCAGTTCTCCGTACAAAATACACAGGTCTGGGCTCCATTTTAGCTGGCGATTGGAGCTCTGGGAAGACAGAGTCACCCATTCAACTGATGGAAAAGGGGACTGAAACAGAGAGCCAGGCCAGGAGATTCCCGGGCAAAAAAGCGTCACAAATCTCAGCATGGCTGTTTTGGCTGGCACAGTGGGTCGCCGCATGGGAAATCACACAGATCTCGGCACCTTTTCAACAGGCAACTGGAACACCTGGGAGACAGTCGACTGTTCAACAACAACAACAACAAAAAGGCTCTGAGGCAGGGAGCCAGGTGATCAGGCTCAGATGGTCCCACTCCCACAAAAAAGCAGCAATCAGAAACACTCTGGATTGGGAGTTTCACAGCAAGCACGGCTGAACCCGGGATGGTCCAGCTCTGTAGGGGAGGGGTGCCCGCCATTACTGAGGCACTCCACCACTACAGAGGTAGTCTGCCATTGCTGAGGCAGCCTGCCATTGCCGCGGCAGCCCCCCATTACAGATAGAATCTGCCATTACAGAGGTGGGCTGCCATTGCCAAGGCAGTTCTAACTATACCCATATAAACAGGACTGCAGGGAAGTTCACACAGCAATATAAGTGAATTGATGGAGCTGAAAAACACAACACGAGAACTTTACGAAGCATACACAAGTGTCAATAGCTGAATTGACCAAGCTGAAGAAAGGATGTCAGAGGTCGAAGATCAACTCAATGAAATAAAACAAGAAGGCAAGATTAGAGAAAAAAGGTTAAAAAGAATGAGCAAAGTCTCCAAGAAATATGGGACTATGTGAAAAGACCTAATCTATGTTTGATAGCTGTACCTAAATGCGATGGAGAGAATGAATCCAAGCTGGAAAATA